TATTTCAGGCTAAAGAAATAAAAAATAAAAAATAAAAATAAATTAAATATACAAAAATTAACTGTGCGTATTAGAATCGTATCCTGTTTTAAGCTAAAAACCACAAATTCGCTATAATTAAAACAAACATCTCAACTTTAGAGCTTCATAGTTATGTGCCTAGATCGACATTAATTAGCCAATCATATGAATGAATATAAACTTTGAGTACGTAAAAGAAATCTTGAGTTTCTGTGCGAAAATAAGTAAACAAATAAATAAATAAGACATAAACAAAATCTGCATAAAAAAAAAATTTAAACAATTACTCAGTAATATAGGGCGCTTTCAAGAAAAATGTCGGTCCTTCCCCTGAGCCAATATCCATTGTCTGACCATTGTTGATAGTCGCTCATGAGTGTTTCATGGTTCGTCTCATGCTGCGTAGAGAACAATTAGAACAATTATAATATGCAGTGGTAAATATATATCGATACAAGGCAATTTTTCACGCTAGTTTTTTTTTTTTAACGGCATTTGAAAAATAATAATTTTCTAACCGTTGTAACTCACAACGGTTAGAAAATTATTATTTTTCAAATACCGTTAAAAAAAACAAAACAAAAAGATTAGCGTGAAAAATTGCCTGGTACCGATATGTATCGAGATATATTTACCACTGCATATTATAATTGTTCTAATTGTTCTATACGCAGCATGAGACGAACCATGAGCGATCTATGAGATGCACTATCAACAATGGTCAGACAATGGATATCGGCTCAGGGGAAGGACCGACATTTTTGCTTGAAAGGCCCATTAATATCGGACGTAATTCTCCCTTACTTAAAACGACACGCAAAAAGGGGTCATCGGCATGTTATACTCTACTTGACACCTAATTCCGTGATTCAAAAAAACCTAACGTCAGAACTTGATAATATCAATGATCCACATGAATGGATTCATTTACCTTCGAGAAATGAAGTAACAGAAAAGGTAGATCAAAGTGATCTACCAGATTTACAATTAGGAGAATTGATTACTAAAAGATCAGGAGTTAAGCATGTAGAAGTAGTGGTTAGTTGTAGAACAGAAAATGAGTTTGAGTTGTTATTTTCCAAACTTTTCGATATTATTGAGATTAAAGCCGTTATTATGTGATCTCATACTATGATTAGAGTGTCCAGGGGTCTGCGGCGGCAGAATCTGCGCAGAATTCTGCTTTTGGCGCAGTTCTGCCTGCTCAAGAAGAAATAAATGATTGGAGAACATAGTCTATTGTGATAAAATTAGAATTTTCTTTTTGTCATGGTTTTGTTGTGATTTTGTTTTTAAAGTATTATTTATATGCCGCCGCAGAATTCACAAATCTAACAGTAATTGCAGCAGAATTTGTCGGTTAGGGCAGCAGTCCCCTGGACACTCTAACTATGATACTTACTTGATACGTTATGATTAAATGTATAGAACCATTCATTACCAGTTACTACCAGTTACTGCATTAACGATTTACGATTTTTTATTGTACTTATATTTGATCATGTAAATTTAACCATATATATTTTTGTTTGTATTTTTTTCTTTTTTCTTTTTTTGTTTATTTATTTATTTATTTTACAATTCAAAATTCTGAATTAAACATAGCAGAAAATTTTAATTAAAAAAAAAAAAGAAGAAATTTGCATATAATTAAAGGTTTAAATTGTATCGCATAAAATACAGACAATTATATTCAAAGAAATGAAATATTCTATTATCTGTAAAAAAAAAAAAAAAAAAAAAAAAAGAGAAAAGGACTTAATATCGAATTTAGCATAATAATTGTTGAACAGTCATCCCTCGTCTTGGTGAATCATTTTCGGATTCTTGCATATCCTCCTCCGATTCTTTAAATTCTTTAAATTCTTTGGATTTTTCCCATTCATTTATAGAAAGATTTGGTGATGTTTGAGTTTCAGAATCTTTCATAGACACAGCACGTTTAGAACTAATAGTAGTTGTTGTTGACTTTGACAACATCAATAAAGCATTAGCTTCTTCATGATCCAATGGTTTTTTCGATTTGTCAGATATTTTTGATATTGTCGTTGAAATATTATCGTCCTCATTTTCAGAGTCAGAAACTTTTTTAATACCAGACTCCACTATGTGGTCTAAAGATGATGATGACGAAGATGAAGAAGGTGATGATGAAATAGAAAGATTATTCTTAGATTTGTAGTCCTTTTTATTATCAGAAGTTTCAAATAATCTTGATTTTGAAGAAGGTAAAATGTCATATCGATCAAATTTTGATCTTTTAATAAATCGACCATCTTCTAAAGATTCATCATTATCAAATTTGCTACCATCTTTTTCACGTTTTCTATAAGTAATAACTAAATCTTGTAAATATTGAATATATTCAATGGAACTCTGCAGAATGCTCAATTTATGCAAATGATCTTGATCAGCACAACTTGGTATTAATTCTTTTAATTGCATAATTTTATCATTAATACGTTCACGACGTCTTCTCTCAATAGCAGAATGAGAAACTTTACGAGCCAATTCACGTTGATCAGCTGTAGAAAGAGATTTATCAGTAGAAATTGAAGAACGATGATGATTATGATGTGGAACGAGAGGATGGATGACAGATGTATGATGTTGCATAGTTGGTCTAGAGGTAGAAGATGAACCCAAAGAGGAGTTTATGGAAGAAGGAGCCACGGGTATAGAAAAAACCGAAGTTAAAGGACCCAATTGTTTTGGTAAAATACGTTCGTATCGGGAATGAGAAGATTGTGGTGGAGAAGCATTTTGTTGTTGAATAATAGAAGTTGGGGAAGGAGGAAGCATTGATTGAGAAGCATGTAAAGCCAAAGGAGATAAAGGTTGAAGAGGTGGAGGAAGTTTAAAGGCACCTTGGCCGGTATAATCATTATGTAAAGCTTGAGAGAAAGGGGAATCAGGAGGAGTTTCGAAAGGAGGTAAAATAACACCATGTTTAGAATGAGGACTTGGACTTGCTTGAGACATATGAAAAGGAGAAGTAGGAACATAAGTTTGAGCTTGTGGAGCTGGAATAATAGGACGATAACTTGACGGCGACTGATGTTGATTCTGCATCACGATAAAATTTTTATTAGGATCGTTTAAGAAAACGTAAGAATGAGTAAGAGAGAATTATAGGGTAAAAGGTCAAACTATATACAAGAATACAGAGAATATAAGAAATATAAGAAGGCGCTGTTTGAAAAAAAAAAAAAAAAAGATTACATATATCATAAATTGATCGATTGGTCTACGATTGGTCGGGGAACTCACGTAATCTAAAATGGCGATTGGATAACGATAATGTAATTATTGTTATCTGTTATAGCTTGATTTTAAAATCACATATTTTAGCCAATACATTTCTCTGAGTTTGACATGTGCGTACTAGTGCATAAATTAATAATATCGATATAGATTAAAAAGCAAAAAAGTTTCACATTTATAGTTATAGAAATCGTATGGATAACATGTGAGCTCATGAACTTTTCCAATTGGCGCAAAAAAGGCGAAAAGAGGTTAGTGGCACATTGAGAACAATACTTTTTGTAATTGAACAATGAAACCTTTAAATCATCTACTTTTTTTTTAGGAAAGTAACGAAAAGACTTTATCAAAGAGATAATCTTAGATTTCAGTTCAAAGTAATTTTTAAGAGCAGAAAAAAAAGACTTTTGAAGAAGATACTTTATCATGAGATGTATTACATTTATTACATTTAATAAAGCGTCCTTGAATAATATATATATTTTATTAGTTTTATTATTATTATTATTATTATACAATATATATATTATTATTTTATTATTATACGTACGTACGTACGTATATACTGTAGTTATTACAGTAATACGTATTTCAGTATTTAGTATTTTAATAGTTATCCTTAATTCTCTGTCCGCATATATTACTTTTATTGATGCTAACTGCTATAAATCCTAATTTATATCTTTTAATCAAGGATCATCTGCATGTGGTTAAAAGTTGGCGCAAAAAATATTGATCAATAGTGATAAACAAACATACGATAAATTACGAATTAAAAATTCAAATATTTTTGGAGGAAACTCGAACCATTAAAATGTCCGAAGCATAACGTTACATTTGATCGTTAAATTTGATCGTGCAAAAATTTTTTGATTTTGATTAGGAAATTAGGTTACATTTGATCGACATCGCTGACGTTACGTATGATATAACATTAACCATTTACGTTAAACTAGATATAGCTAGATCCAAAATTTTGCCAAATTGTGTAACCATTGCTATGGTTTTTAAAGTATATACTACTGCAATACCATCACTACAATCACGTGTTGTTTCAATTTTTGCAGATAAAACTGACTGCTAACTTTATAGAGAAATATCGATTCTACGTATCGATATCGCTATAACGTAATCATAAAAATTCCCAATATAAAAAAGGCATAACTATGTGAAAATTAATATTGTCATGTGTAGATTCCTCCAGGTATCTCTCCTTAGTGCAGTAGTTATCGTCATCAGACGTTTTTTTTGTCAACTGTATAGCTGTATAAGGATTTAATAATGCCCATGTGATTGTATAGATGACTTAAGCATACGTACGTACAACAATTTCTTTTGATACGCATTTGGAATAATAGTATATATATATACGTATAACGATAATTTTAATACAATTTTGTTATAGCAAATTTTGTTATACGTACGTAACAATTTCATTTCTTCATTCATTTTCAACTGATATTTCCGAAGATGGAAATGATGAAATTGCAGGGTATTTTCCCCACTTCAATTATTCTTCATTAATAATGATTGTAATAATATCTTGAACTAACCAATCTTGTAAATGTAAAATTCCTTCAACAATTTCATGTAAAATATATGGGAAGAAAATAAAAATCGAAAGATATATCATTATACGATGTTCTTGATGAATAAATTTAAATATTCGTAATTGAATTCCTTTTTTCGAGTTCATCTGAAACCAAGGTGATAATTTAAATGGAGAGCTCATTTTTAAACTTTTCACAATTTAATGGTGGTAATAATTTTTCTTCTGATTTATCAAAAGATGTTGTATTTAACTTCTTGGAATCAATAGTATCATCTTGTGACTTTAATATGAAACAGGATCCGTTGGCATATCATTATCCACAAATCTGGTAAGATAAAATATTGCTGACACCGCTCCAGGATAACCTAACCCTTTAAATTCTTGGTTTTCCAATTGATCAAATTCGAAATTCCTAAATTTGAAATAATATTTCGTGTCACTCGTCGCATTACTAAAAGTATTCTGCGTTTTCGATTCACTGGATAACATAATGTGTTGCGAATTATCCGTGTATCCATCGATATATATTTGCAGAAATTTAACAGGTGTGAATAATCAACAATGTATACCTAATTTTTTTTATGTTTGTTTCAAAGACTAGTTTCGTATATTATTTCATCGGTTTCCCACCTACCAATATTTCAAGATGATATTTGTTATAAATCATCCTATTTTATTTATGAAATCATGTTTATATATTATCTGTCTTAAATATTACTGATATTTTTAGCGTGACGTCATTTACACTTTTACTTAAATTAAATTTTAAAGCTATATTCAGGTTTTTATTCCCAGATTAAGTTGCTGGACTAAACCTGTTATTAGTCAAATGTTTTTTTACAGAAATGTAAGTATTGTATTCTTTTTATATCGGTAAAAATAAAATAGTAATTCTCATACATATGATAATCTTCTATCAGTCAATTCAGTCAATTCTCTTCCTATCTCTTGGAATTGATCCTTTATTATCCCTAAATTCCGTTGATTTAAAGTATTAAAAATTTTGTCACTTGTCGATCGTTCGGTATCGGTTACACCATTACACCGTAATGTTCATTAAAAAATTTTCTCTATCATACATCGAAATGTTCAAATACAATAAGTATTATCAGCAATTTTATTATACTACTACATCTTCAAAGCAATGGCTTGCAAGGCAAATTCGTGATAAATATGTTAAAAAGGCTGCTCAAGAAAATTTTCGTAAACATTTATTTTATTTTATTTTTTTTCTTAATTCTTGTAATTAAAATACTAATTTATACAGTATAATTAAGATATTTTTTATTCTTATCTATCTATATTAGGTGCTCGTAGTGCATATAAATTACAAGAATTAGACAATAAATATAATTTCATTATACCTAATTCTGTAATTATTGATTGTGGTGCTTCACCTGGAAGTTGGTGTCAATATATTTCTCG